GCCAGGCCAGCAGCCGCCGTGCCACAATCAGGTGTGGCTGCTCCCCTGGCGGCGCGGCGCCGCCTGCGCCGTCCTCCTGCTCGCCGCCGCCGCCCATGGCGCCGCCGGTCATCACAAAATCGAGGTCTGACGTCAGCGGCACCCAGTGGCGGTCAATAACCTGGGGACATTTGGTGGGCAACAAATGTTTTCAAGTAGGGAACCAGACGCGCTACCGGGGCGCGGTCCACGGCACGGGCGCGGGTGAGGCGATCGAGGGTGAGACTGGACGTGCCGGGCTGTGTGCGAGGCCGAAGCACGCAGGCGCAAACCGGGACAAGAGGGAGCCAGCAGAGCCGTCCGCAGCCGTCTGCCGCTGGCGACGACGCAGCAGAATGGATACTAGGGAACGAACCGTGCGGGGCCCGCTGGAATGCGGCTCGCGCACACATTGCCCACCGCATGCACGGTCCCTGGCCCGTAGACGCTCCCGCCCAGCTGCAGCACCGGCGCCAAACTGGGCCTGCGCGGGGCGGCCGCCGCCGCCGCCGCCGCGGCCGCCATCGACTCAGGCGCGCGGGCCCCCGCCTGGGCGGACTGGCCGGAAGCAAAGGGGCTCGCACGCCCGGGCGGCGGCGCGCTCGCGCCGCGCGCAGGAGCTGACGCTACGGCGGCAGTGGCGCTCGAGCCTGCGCGCGGAGCGGGCGTTGCGCCCACGCTGGTGGGCCTCTCTCCAGCCGAGCGCCGCTCACGTGCCTGCGCCTGCGCGGCTGGGCCTGCGTCAGGGCCAGCCCCGCCACGGCCGGCAGCGCTGGTGCTGTGGGGCTGGGCCAGGTCGCCCATGTAGAGCCCCAAGCGCTGAGTCATCCACTCATCGTGAAGCTCCTGCGGTGACACCTGGGAACTAGTGCTCTCCCCGGCCCCCCGCTGCAGGCCTCCAGGCTCAGTCCCGCCAGTGACGCCTGGTGTGTCGGGCCTGCGCGTGGACGGCGCTCGCGGTGGTGCGGGCCCAGCGCTCCGGGGTTTGGGGCCCTTGGGGGACGGCGCGGCTGTTGCTGCTGCAGGCCTACGCTGCTGGTCGCGCCACTGCTGCTCGTCCCCCTGCTCCCCTTCCTTCTGTTGCTGCTGCTGCTGCTGCTGCTGCTGCTGCTGCTGCTGCTGCTGCTGCTGCTGCTGCTGCTGCTCTTGCCAAACCTGTCGCTGTGCCTGTTCCTGCCGTTCCTGCTGCTGCTCCTGCTGCTGCTCCTGCTGCTGGCGCGAGTCCAGCATCCTCGTCAGCAGGCGTGTGGCCTCGGCCGCCACCGCCTGCTCGGCTGCCAGCAACGGCACGCTCAGCACCAGGTGACCACCCTCGCCCCCGCCACTGCCGGCCTCGACGGCAGCGGCGACCCTCTGTTGGTCGCCTGCGACGCCGCCGCCGTCGCTGTCCCAGAACGAGTCGGCGCTGAAAAAACTGCACGCGCTATCTGCAGAAGTCGCGCGGGCCGCGGGGTCGCCGGGGACGGCAGGGCCCGCAACGAAGGGTGAAGGCGCGATGCCAAGCGGCCCCAGGGGGCAGAAGCCAAGGAGCCACGTGACGCCTGCCTCTGGGGGCTGGGGTAGCCAGAAGCTGCGGAGGAGGGGCGTGCCAGGCGGGGTGAAGGCCTGTCGGCTTGTGACGGCGGCAGCGGTGGGCGAGCCCCCTGGGGCGCAAGATGCACAGCGCAAGGCCTAAGCAGTGTCGCACCATGCTCGCCCCCTTGCCCCGCCCACCTTGCTGACCCTGCCTCATCGATGTCCACGGCTTGGTCCCACAGCGGCTTGCCGTCGTTGCGCAGCAGCACCAGCTGCAGGCTGCCGATGCCGCCCAGCAGGCCGTGGATGCTGACTGGGACGCCGCCCCCGGCGCCGCCGGCGCGCACGCCGCTGCCGTCGCGCTGGGTGGCCGCGTGTTCGCTCAGGGGGATGCAAAGCGGCCAGATCCAGCTGTCAGGTGGCAGCGGCTGGGAGAGGAGCGACACGACATCGCCGCCCGCGATGCGCGGCGCCGTTGCCATGTGGATGACAGCTGTGCAACGCAGGCAGCAGAAGATTTCGTCCGGGGAAACGGCCGCTATAATAATCTTGTGCCACCTGCTGTTGCGTTATGAACAGGATCCGTGAATCCGAGGTATTAGATCGATCGGGCGGGAACGCCGCGGGTGCAGTCTTACATGTCATGTGAGCTCTAGATTATGAGATTTGATGAGTCACTCTCTGGCATGATACTGTGAGAGTCAAGTCTGGAAGAAGGGCTCACAGTAACGAACCACTGCATTGTCATCATCACCACGTGGCCTGTTGGCAAAAACAACTGGGCAGCACGCTCAACAACAGCACTACGGGTCAGCTTGTTGCTGACAGCTCGAGGTTGCGTATGCATGGCTTATTGCCTCGCTGCTGAGGCCGTGCTCGTCTGACATCTGGGACTGTGTCCCACACTAACCTCGAGCCTGGAGTAATGCTTCATCCAGGCCCTCAAACACTTCAAGGACAAGCAACAGGACAGCTTGACACAGGACGCGCGCAGCGCCAAGCGCGCCGCGTGCAGCGTTGCAAGGCTGGTGGAGCACCAGCAAGGTTCTGCAGATCCGCGCCAAAAGCGCACTCCGCCCTACTCCCTCTCATTAAGCAGAGCCGCAGCAGGCGCTGTAACCTTCGTGGCGGCACAGATCCTCATCAATTAGCACAGCGCACAGAAAAGCGTGGCACAGAGGACTGGCATCTGTGTCTTGCCACGGGCTTGCTGCTGCACCCGGGATACGTCCGCCGCCTTTGCTTGCCGTCACTGCCTGCTGCTGCACGTGTCATGCTTCCTATAGTAGCCCCTTATTATTACCAGTTCCATGTAGTGCAGGCAGCCACCCCACCAACTTGCTGGCGGCATGCAGTGCAAGCAGTGACCATGTGACCGACGGTCAGCCTGCTGTCACCAGTGACCAATGGGCGCTCGCTGTCGACGAGGAGTATGATACCGCTTCTTATGCACTCAGTTTGAAAGCTCCCTCGCATCTGTTTACAGTTATACACACGAGAAGAGGTGTCATGGAGATCCCGATTTCCGTTTCGCTATTTCTTGCATCTCCTACCAACGCAGATCTACAGGCACGGGTCGATGGCCTGCCGCCCTTGAAACCTGGTGCATCAAGGCTTTTGCTGAGCGGTGTGACTCGCAGGTAAAGCTCGGGGCGCAGTTGACATGTGATTGTGCACCGCTTCGGCGGCGCCAAGATCGCAATCCACGCGTCCTCCATTGCTCTCTCCTATGACGCGTCGCACTGCAGCGGCAAGACCAGCATGCTGTTTCACCTCAGCTGCCGCGCGGCCGCGCAGGGGCGCAGCGTCGTGTGGCTGTGCTCGCAGGCGCGGCTTGAGCAGTCGCCGCCGCTGCTGCCGCGCGGCCTCCACCGCAGCAGCCCCGCCCTCGCATCGATCGCGTTCAAGTGAGGCGCTGCGCAGGCTAGCAGTGGGACAGGGTGAACCCATGCCTCTACACCCTTGAACACACCATGCATGGTGCTCAGCTGCCTGGGCGAGCCGTTGCAGGCCAGGGCAGCAGCCATGGCCACCTCCCGCAGGCAACCTTTGCTATTTCACAACATGGACAATGCAACGATTCCAGCAACACACATCACAACAACCGAACTGGCCTTACTCGTCCGCACCCCGTACTCATTCAAACTGGCCTCTCAGGTACATAACCGACCTCTCGGGCCTGCGGCGCTACGGCGCGTGCCTGCACCTGCTGCCGCGGCCCCCAGACGTCCTCATCGTGGATGACCTGTCAGAACTGACCGCAGCCACCAGGCACGCCCTGCACGCCATCACGCCCCTGGTGCTGTCTTGAGCTGCAGCTCGCAGACCGCTGTGTTGACTTCCAGCTTTGCTGAGGACGTGTGCTGTTCGACGCAGCCGCTGCCGTCCTCGCCACCTCCCCCCACCACCCAATGTCAAACAGGGTGGCACGCACCTCGTTGGCCCGGCCCCTCCGCCTGCGCCCCACAGGCTGGAGCCCGGCCGTGGCACGCGCGATGGGGAGTTGACCAAGGCCCTCGCGCTGCTGGTCGATGCGCTTGAGCACGCCAGGTGAGGGGAGTTCGTTTTGATAGAGGTGCTGTGCTGTGTGGTGTGTTGTGATGCAGGACCAGGCAGAAGGCAGGCTGTTGAAAACAGAGCGCGGTGGGCTGGCTAGGAGCGATCTTCCTGCACGTTTCACGTCGCCACAGCCGTCCTCCCCCGCCTGCTCGCCTCGCAAGCGCAGGGATGCGACTGGCTGTGTGTGCCAGCTGTTTGTTTCGGACACAGCTGGCGAGGACGGCCCCCGCAGCCTGTATCTCTTGTCCCGCTGGTTCCATGCGGTCGTCAGCCTCACAGGCGCGTATTGCAGCCCTGCTCACTCGCTGTTAGGGCCGCGCCATGGGGCCCTGGGCCTTAGCTGCTGCCTCATCAGCAGGCCGCAGCTGCCCCATGCCCCGCCCTGCGGCTCGCTTCCACGCAAGCCTGACGCCGTTGCTCGGCCCTGTACCCACTACAACCTGCCGCAGGGACGCCGCCCTCAGCGCTCACGCTGCGCGTGGCGGCCGCTGGCGAGCAGCACGTGCCGGCGGCGCTCGCGGCGGCGCAGGTGCATTACTCGGTGTCCCATGCGTGCATCGCCGCGGAGGCGCTGACGACTGCAGTAGCTGTGGGGTGACGCAGTCAGCAAGGCTAGGGCACTGGAACATGTGCTGATGGCTTCCCCGCTGCAACAAACGGGAAAGCTTGACGAGAACTACTTGAGCCTTTTCTGGGAGTTTGCCTTGTGATACATGGAGGCCCTCCCCTGAAGTGGCGGCTGGATGGCGTGCAAACCCTTTGGTCCCAAGCTCCCAACAAGTTACAGGGCAGCGGCAAGGTATTGTGCATTACATGCGTTGGCGGGCCTGGCGGTTCGAGCGCATCGTCATCGATTCAACGTCCGCCAGGCCGGCGTGCGCGTCAATGGGCGGCAGTGGTGGGCGCTGTCAGGTGAAGAGGATGGACAGGCCCATAGCAATGCAGGCGATAGACACCCAGGGGCTTAGCCGTTCCCCTGCGGCGGGCGTGGGTGGTTTGGGGCGGGGGGCGGGTGCGCGTGGCGGGTTCAGAGGTGCGCCAGCGGAAAGATGGGGGATGGGGTGAGGTGGCGCAGGCTCACGGGGATGGAGCAGCTGCTCTCGCTGTGGCAGAACTGACACCCCCCTGTGCCGAAACAACACGCCACTTGATGGCAGCCACCGCACAGTGTTCGGCGGGTGATGACTGCCGCACAGCCCTTTGCTGCTGCTTGTTTGCGTGGGTGCGGCGCTGCTGTTTCCCCATGGGTCTCGATCCGCACAGCCGCACCTATCCGAGCCGCCTTCCAAAACAGGCCCTTGAACCTGCGGCAGCAGCGGCGTGCTCATGTGAGGAAGCAAACGTGCGACGGCCGCATTTCGAGGCTGTCCATGGCGCACCCATCACCCGCGGGCATACCGGTAAGCAGCTGCATGCCGCACGCAGTGTCACCAGGGGCCGATTCGCTGCCATGTCTCATGGCTCAATCATAACCCAGCCACCCACCCCGTCGTCTGAACCAGGCCGCCTGGGTAAATGAGCTTGTAGTAGGTGCAGGTGCATATGAAGAGCAGCACCACCGTCAGGAAAGACTGGAAGTCAAACAGAGCAGACATCGCGCCCGCAGCCGCTCAGCCACTGCTGCCGCTAGGACAGCCCCTCGGCTGCGCCAGCTGCCTGGACCGCGCTGCGCCTTTGCGTCGTCCTTTCTTGTAGGTGTGGCGCAGCTGCCGCCCTGGCTAAGGCTGCAGGTCGTGGCCTCTCGCTGTGCAACCAGAGCGCCGAAGCGCCACAGGAGCGCGCAGCTCCACGCCCTCTGCCTGCGCCCCTTTCGGCAGCAGCCTCGCAGGTTCCCTGATTCCTTGTGCTTCGAGCAGCACAACAGCCTGTCCTTGATCAACCACTCCTTGATCAACTACTCCTCCTCTACCGATCAGCTGATGACGGTGTACTCAGAGATCACTGAAAAAGGCACCTGTCAATCAACCAACTGTAACATTTCGATGGATACCGTAATTGGCATACATCAGTTCTAGAGATGTCGACATTGCACATTTAGCATAGTCCTTTCTGCAGCTGCATCCCGTGCCGTCTGCAACGCCAGGGCTTTTCTGTCGTTTGATCGCAGACTGGCCAAGCCCTGGAGATCCCGTACAACAGAGATATATAAGCAGGCAAGGGGCCGCTCAGGACGCGGCACCTGCAGACCTGCTGCACCGCCGCCGGCGCACAGGTTGATCACAGCGTCGGCGCCGCCAAGAAGGCACGACCCTGCCAGCTGCGGCTGGTTGCGCCGGCTGGCATGCAGCTGACCAGTAGTAGGCTGCAGGGGGCCACGGAGCGCATCGGCGCGCACGCCCCGGCGCAGCGGGGCAGCCGCCCGCGCGCTGGCGCCAGCTACGCAGGCAGCGTCGGCCTCGCCCCTTGCACGGCACGGGCTGCCTGGCACCAGCCCAACCCGCTGCCGTCGCCCCAGCGCCAGTGCCTGCACAGCCCCCGTCGCAGCATGTCGGCCCGCTGCGCCGCCACCCCGGACGCCTCGTCCCCCGCCCCGACGGCGCCCGCCGACCCCGGCGCGCAGCGCGCCGCGCCGCTCGGTGCGCGGCTCGGCGCGGCCTACGACTCCCTCTCAAACATGCCGGACTGGGCCGCCAAGGGCCGCCGGGCGGGCGTGATCCTGCACCCCACCTCGCTGCCCGGCCCCTACGGCATCGGCGAGCTCGGGCCCGAGGCGCTGGCCTTCCTGGACTGGCTTGCCGCCGCCGGCATGCAGTGCTGGCAGGTGCTGCCGCTAGTGCCGCCGGACCCCGAGTACTTCTCTCCCTACTCCGGCCTCGACGCCAACTGCGGCAACCCCCTCCTCATCAGCCTGGATGCCCTAATAACAGAGGGCCTGCTTGCAAAGTCCGACGCCCCCGCGGGCCTCAAGGCCAGCGGCGACGTCGACTTCGCCGCTGTCGCGGCCGCCAAGCTGCCGCTGCTGTCCAAGGCCGCGCAGGCGCTGCTGACCGAGCCGCGCTTCGCGGCGCTGCGCGCGTCGCTCAAGCGGTTCCGGGCGTCCAACCCCTGGATCGAGGACTCCGCGCTGTTCGACGCCCTCCGGAAGCGGCCTGACCTCGAAAACAAGGAGTGGTGGTTCTGGCCGGAGCCGCTGCGGCTGCGGGAGGCGGGGGCGATCAAGAAGGCGCGCGCGGCGCATGCCGCAGAGATCGACGAGTTCGTGGCCGTCCAGTTCCTGTTTGACCGGCAGTGGCG